CGGTAGGGATCTTTAGGATCCATCAGATGAGTTTTGATGCTATCATGGAGGCGGACAGCGTTGTAGTTGAGATTGTTGACAGCTAGTAGATTTCTTGCCTCCAAGACCTCTCTCACTCGATTGGAGTCTTCCGGAGTAGTGCAATATGGGCGAATGGTTGGAGTGAGCATTTTCGTTGCCACAAAAGTTGTGTCAGGAACTGGTCCGTCGAAGGGAAGTGCAGGAATGTATTGATTTGCCATGATTTGGAGTTGCAGAGATTGAGAACAGCAAAGGCCAGTAGTGAAGAATGAAGAGTTTTGGGGCACGCAATGTGTTGCAGTAACTGGTTGCAGTTGCAGAAGCAATTCCTCCGAAGGGGTATGGTTGTATATATATATATATTGCGAACTTCGAAACGGTGATTGTGGAATGACGTTTGAAAGTCCGGTGGCGGCGGGCAAGTTGTTACGTATGAAAATTATAATTTGGTTAAAAAGCCCAAGTTGGAAGAAAATATGGGCCTATAGTTGGGTATGTTAGATTGATCAAGGAGTGTTTCGAGAAAATCGGGTGAACTAGACGTATTTCTAAGGAAAGTCTGCAGGTCGGAAGATCCGCAGGTCGGAAGGTCCGCAGGTCGAAAGGTCCGCAGGTCGGAAAGTCCGTGAGTCGGAAAGTCTGCAGGTCGGAAAGTCCGCAGGTCGGAAAGTCCGTGAGTCGGAAAGTCTGCAGGTCGGAAAGTCCACAGGTCGGAAGGTCCGCAGGCCGGAAAGTCCGCAGGTCGGACAGTTTATAGGTCGGAAAGTCCGCAGGTCGGATGGTCCATAGGACAGAAAGTCTGTGAGTCGGACAGTCTACAAGTCGGATGATCTGCAGATCGGTTGGTCAACGGGTCGGATGGTACGCAAGTCGGAAGGTCGGTGGTCGGACCAACAAGTCGGATGGTCTGCAAGTCGGGAGGTTTGCGGCTGGACCAACAAGTCGGATGGTCTGCAAGTCGGGAGGTTTGCGGCTGGACCAACAAGTCGGATGGTCTGCAAGTCGGGAGGTTTGCGGCTGGACCAACAAGTCGGATGGTCTGCAAGTCGGGAGGTTTGCGGCTGGACCAACAAGTCGGAAGGCTTGTGGTCGGGCCAACGAGTCGGGTGGTTTGTGGTCGGATAGGCAAGTCGGTTGATCCACAGTTGGATGAGCGAATAGTTGGTTGTTGGGGAGGCCGGGCGCTGCGGAGAACGAGTGAGAATAATAGTTTGGTCGGCTGAGAACACGTGTCAGCAAAAGAAGGGTTAGTGAACGGTTGAGAGGAGACGTTATAACCGTTCGGACGACGGTTCCAAGTACCGTTTCTGAAGAATATTTAAGGATTGAGATTTGCAACTGACAGGGCATCTTCAATCATCTTCGAACGACAGCAAAGTCAGTGATTCGGGGATCATCATTTAATTTTTCAGTACTTTATTTTTCCAGTTTATTTCCTGTACCGTACAGTGTTTAGAGATTCCTAATCTCAGGCGCTAAATATATCAAATTCGAAGATAATTTCCTATTTTCGAATTTTACTTTTTATTATTGAAAAAAATACATCAGAAAGATAATATTATATTTTGAATTAATATTTTTAATAAAAATATGTATTGAATATAATAATTTTTTAATAAAATATTTTTTATAATAAAAATAGTGATGATAAGATTGAAATAAATAACTATAGTAGGAGATAAATTTTAAGTTATATAATTAGTAATAAGTTTTAAATTATAATAATAATATTTGACCTTTGGCATGAAAGCTCTGGGATCACTCCCATTGTGTTTGTTATTTCAAGTTTACTTTTATCAATATGTATTTTATAACATCTTCCAAATTCAATGTGCTCCTCTTAAATAATGAATTAATTATTTCAAATTTAGTTTACTTTTATCAACATCAGCAAATACATTTGATCGAAGATTATTTTAGAAGGCTAAAAACTTGAATAAAATACACAATGGGTAAGTTGCTCATGCAAAAAGAGAAAAACAATTCAACCAAAATGAAGAGGAAAACAAAAAATAATTTTACATGATGTTAAAAAAAATATGAAAGCAATACATGAACAAAAACTAAAAACAAAAACTAACAATATATAAAGAAAATACTCCCTCCGTCCCATAACAATCTATCCATTTTTCTATTTTGGTCCGTTCTATAACAAAGTATCCGCTTCTTCTTTTAGTAATTGTACTATCTACCTAACATTACAAATACCCTTCTAATTTACAATATATTACACAAATGCCATTACATTTATATCATACAATACTAATAGGATTAATTTAATCTTTTTACCTCTATTTTATCCTAATATAATACTAATATTTTTAAAACTCCGTGTAAAAAATAAATTAATAGATAGATTGGAGACGGAGGGAGTATAATTTTTGGGAATGTTGCGCCAAGTATTCTTTCTCCAAAATCCCCTAACCTTCTCGGGCCGGGCCTAGCCCTCGGTCATTCTGGTGTGCCTTCCAACTATCCGGCCATCCATCAATTCAGCTTTTCGGCAATCCCGTCTTCTACCAAATTGAATTTCCTCTTTGATTTCTCTATGGTTCCTCCGGTTATAACAAGTGCATTATTCATTATTGTTTGAATTAGGATATTTGTCGTTAAGTTATACTTTCTTCGTCCCAATTTAAAAAATATATATATAATTTTTATTTTTGTCTCACTCAAAAGTATCTCTTTTTTTTTATTATAATAAAAATAATCACACATTAATATCAAAATATTCTTTTAATTTTTACATAAATTGTAAATGTATCATTACACGTACAATTAATTTACACAATAAAGTACAAATGACAAAAATATAAAAATTATCTTACACTTCCATTAATAATAAAATATTATTATTTTTTAATTTATTACAAAACTTCAAAGGTTTATTTAGATTGGGACGGAGTGAATATTATTTTGAGACAACATTACATAAATTATTTTAATAAAAAAATAAAAACTTTTGGGTGTATAAATTTATTTATTTTTTGAGTAAAAAAAATATATATAAATTTTGTTGGAAAGAGAGAGGGAGGGAGGGATTTTAAGTAATTTTAAGATGTATAAGATTTGATCATTTTGTATTTTTAGTTTGAATATTTTGTTAAATAAAAAAAGATATGTCGGTAATACACAAAATAATATATTGATGGTAGATAATTTTTTTTTTAAAATTTATATTATATATATAATCTTACTTTTTTTATCATTTATTTTTCTACACTTTGTTGGAAATCACTTTCCTACACTTTTTTGGGATACATGTGTATAAACTTAAATTTGATTGAGAGGCATTTTGGAAAATAGTTTATAGTTATTGAGTAATTTTAGCTGATTGATAGTGAATCAACTAAATTACGTGTTTAGTAAATTAATTTTTATAAATAATTATTTTTTTTTTTACTAAAAAATTAATTTACCCATTTATTTAGAATAATATTTTCATTTTAATTATTTTTATTTTTATTTTTCTTTATTCTTTGTTTGTCTTTAAAAATCAATCATATTGTATAAATAGATTTCTTACTAAATTTGTTTATAACACATGTTGTGTGAAAGTATATCTTTTGTTGTCACGCTGTATTTGTATTAAATTAATATAATTAATTTACCCTCGTATCAGTATGATATTCAAATATATAATTAATCTAAACAAAACAATTGGTTTAAAAAAAAAAAACATATTAAATTCGAAATATATATATACATATATGTGTATAAAGAGGACACTACAATTAGGGGGAAAAAAATCAAATTCACTCTTATTGCAAGTGTACTTAAAATAAATTTTTGGCCAAATTATAGTCTTTTAATTATATATTATAATTTCGTCTGAATAAATACTCATTAAGATTAAACTTACCATTAATTTAAGTAAAATATATCCTTTATCCTGCCATATTTACCTTTTTGTGTCATTATACTTAATATTTGTATAATTTTTTTAATTTTTAAAAATATCATTCTATTAGTATTATAAGACATGAAAATACTTTTTCAATTTTTTCTCAAAAAAACTAAATGAGATAATATTAAGGAAAAAATCGTTTTTGGTCTTAATATAACTAAAATTCATCAATTTTGGTCCAAATATAAAAATTTTATCAATTTTGGTCCCAATATAACCAAAATTCGTCATTTTTGTTCCAATATAACTAAAACTCATCATTTTTTGTCCCAGCAAGAAATTTTTATCAATTTTAGTCCCAATATAACCAAAACACATCATTTTTGGTCCAAATATAAAATTTTTATCAATTCTAGTCTCAATATAAACAAAACTCATCATTTTTTGTCCCAATATAATCAAATCTTATTTTTTTTGGTCTCACCGTCAACAAACCGACGGAAAATACTGACGTAAAAAGAAATCAAACCTTATATTTATATTTGAAGAAATTGCATAATCTTGCAAGTCCACGTCAGCATTTTTTGTCGGTTTGTTGACGGTGGAACAAAAAATGATAAGGTTTGATTATATTGAGACAAAAAATGATTGTGTTTTGGTTATATTGAAACTAAAATTGATAAAAATTTTATATTGAGACAAAAATGATAAATTTTGGTTATATTGAGACCAAAATTAATAAGATGCTTATATTGTGACCAAAATTGATAAATTTTAGTTATATTGAGACGGAAAATGATTTTTTCCATAATATTAATATCCATATACATATCCCTATCCAATCGTTTGGACTAAAATTAAAAGTTTAGGAGTGAAGATGTGATTCAATAATAGTCCACAAAACTATTTGGCCCTGTCCATGTGACATATAAAAGCTTGGGGCAAACTCGCATTGATGTCGTTAGTCCTTTTAATAAAATAAATGTGTATTGGTGCTATGTTTTAAAAATTGGAATTGGATTTAATACTGCTTCCTTAGTTGAAGTGGCAATGGAATGGGTAAAAACCTACAAGGAAACGTAAACGTACGTTTGTTTTAAAATGCCAATTAGACATTGAAAAGTAAGAAAGGCTGCGCTGCCTCTCTCTCTCTCTCTCTCTCTCTCGCTCTCTCTACGCTTTTTGTTTTTGTCCCAAGCGAGTAGTGCGGCATTCGGCGAAGGAGGTTTTCCTCTCTCTCTCTCTCTCTCTCTTCCTCTCCCTCTCTCTACCAGACCAGACCAGACGAGACCATACCAGGGCACGAGCTGACCCACTTCAATCCATCATGATCATCTACCGCCATTAATTTCCTTTCGGATTGGATTGGATTAAAGTTTCAAGGCAATCGCGTCGCGAGGTGTATCGTTTTAGTGCTGCAGGTTAATGAAAGCAGTCTCGACTCCATCGTTCTTTCCTTCTTTCTTTCTTTCACCTTAGCGGCGAAGATAAAGTTGGGTCGGGTTGGGTCGGGTCGTTTTCCGGAGAAGAATATGCTGCGATTGTAATCGAGAAAGTGAAGTTCTGTTGGGGTACTTTGATTTATCTTCTGTTCTGTTCTGTTCTGTTCTGGACTGGTGGCGTTTGGAGCTTTGGTATTACCATTGGATTGGATTAATTTAATTGAATGATCTTCTTCCCTCTGTCTGCTCCAGTTCAATTCCGTTCAGGTGAGGATTTCCATTCCTATGTTGACATTTGTTGATTGGATTTGGGTATGTTTTGTATTGTTGTCTGGTCCGGAATGGATGGATCGTCCGAAGAAAGTTGTAGTGTAGTGTATGTAGGTTAGCGCGTCTTGGTTATTTCATTTTCATACACATATCTTCTTCAACAAATCAATAACTTGTTCGATAATTTATCATTAAGATGCAGTGCAATCTATATACATGTGTATTTTGAATATACTAGTATAATTCAGCAGCCACAGAATAAAAGGAGGTTATGCTTGAAAATCTTCTGATAAGTTTTTTGAAATTCTATTGGCTAAATCACTTTAAAGGGTGATTGAGTGATTCGAGTTCGTCATTGATTTCATTATTGATGATGTAATAAGTACTGTGTGTTTCTAAGACCAAACTGCTTGGATTAACCCAAGCCATGATGTTCTATTTCAGCAGTTGACTGTTGCCATGGGAAATCAAGTTGTAGAGCTACCATCCATTCTAAGCATCAAGGTATGACACGGCATGGCAACTGTTTCCTAATCTTCAATTTGTAATAAAAGGATTGGATTGGATTGAATTTCTGTTTTTCCCTGGTTGTTAATCAGTGTTCTAGCTTTGTCTAGGCTTTGGGATTGATTCATTTTCTTCTACCCTCGTTGCAGGTGCATCGACGGATGTGCTCGGAGCTGTTGAAATTGGTGAGGAGTATTTCAACAATTTTCCCAGAGTTAGAAGATGCCCGTCCTCGGTGCTCATCTGGAATAGGTGCGCTTTGCATGTTAAACGAGACGACCCTTGAGGCCAAGACACTGCTTCAGCGCTGCTGTGACCACAGCGTTCTTTATTTGGTATGTACTTGTAATGTAATGTAATGTACCTCCTGCTGCTCCACTGGTTTTTTAACATTTTCATGCTAATTACGGTCTCTTAAGTATTTTCAGGCACTCACCGGCGATGCTTTACTTTCAAGGTGTAGCAAGTATCGGAACTTGTTCGACCAGAGTCTCAGCCAAATTAAGACTATGGTACCGGTAGTTCTTGTTGCCAAGGTTACCACTACGACTCTTGCCTATTTGTTGCTGATGATGTATATATACATTTCACAACTTAATTAGTAGAGCTCATATAAAAATTTCTATCGCTCCTCCAGATTTCCGGAATAATCGCTGATCTTAGAACTGCTGAGTTCCATTTGGATCCGGCTGAAGCAGAGGCCGGGAAAGTTCTGCAGGAATTGCTTCGTAGATCCAACTCTCCAAATGGCTTCGACAAGGATGCTGCAATAGCTGCTATTCGTAATTGTTCTTCTCTTCTTGGTATAGTCTCCCAGAAAGCTCTGCTGATTGAGAAAAGATCCATCAAAAAGATGATCGACAGCTTTGGAGAAAGGGAAAGGGAAAGAGGCAAGAGGGTTATTCTAATATTTTTCCTCGATCTTCTGAAAAAATACGGAAAGGGCATGGTGTCGGCGGCAAATGTCAATGGTTCATCAGATCTTGAACATCACTTGCCGGTTGCAAGCCCGTATCGTCTGTCCAAGGAGGTCGAATTTCGCATAGACTGTATGTCTGGTGAAGCTGAAATTGGGATGTTGAGTAGGCATGTACCGCCTGAAGAATTCCTATGTTATTTCTCTTCCAAGTTGATGTTCGATCCAGTTATCATTGCTTCAGGGGAAACCTATGAAAGGATGTGGATCGAGAAGTGGTTCGAGGACGGCAATGGTACTTGCCCAAAGACAAAGAAGAAGCTACCGAATTTGTCCTTAACGTCGAATACTGGCATGAAACTCCTCATCACAAAATGGTGTTCTGAGCATGGGATTTCAGTTCTTGATCCCAGGAAGACATTGGTGAATAACATGTGGGAGACTTGTTCGAATTCCATCGCTAGCATCACAAGCTCCTTGTATAATTTAAATCTTCCCGTGGATTACAGCAATGTGTCGCTTGGATCTTGTCCGGAATCAGATCTCTCCAACACTGAGATGACAACCTTACAGGAAGATGATGATATGAAGCTTCTCTCTAAACTTAGCGAGTCTCCATGGGATTCTCGCTGCAATACAGTCGAAGACATTAAAAAGTTGTTGAAACAAGGAAACGGAAATGGAAACGGAAACGGATCTGCATTCAACATTCCACCCAAAAAGTTTGCTCACTCGCTCCTTAGATTTTTGAGGGATGCTTACAACCTTTGCGATACAGCAGCCCAAATTTCTGGATGCGAGTTGCTGCTTGAATTCTTGCAGAATGACAGGTACTTGATAGATAGATAGATATATAGATAGATAGATAGATAGAAAACACTTTGATCTACATATATACATACGTTGAGGTATTATATATTGAGCTACTACTACTGTTGGGCGATTGCAGAGACGGCATATCATACATAAAGAAAGACGCATACAATCTGCTGGCATTGTTTCTCGACACTGATGAGCATGAGCTTGTAAAGCATGCTTTATTGGCACTGAAGGTTTTGTCCTCCCACAGAAAATGTGGTAAGAATATTGCATCATCCGGCGCACTTTCCGCTATCCTGAACATCCTCGACAGCAAGATTCCTGGGCACCTGGAACTGGCCCTGCACGTATTGAGCAATTTGTCGTCAAACCTTGACATCTCCTCCTCGATTGTTTCTTCCGATGTTGTATCCAAACTTGTCCCGCTCTCGGAAGAGCAAGAGCTGGCGGGACACTGCATGGCCGTTCTGAGAAATGCGTGTGACAACGAATCCGGCAGGCTGGCGATCACGGAAACCCAAGGCTGCATTGCTTCTATTGTGAAAGTTCTGGAGATGGACGACCACAAGACACAGGAGGATGCTCTGTCCATACTTCTTCCCCTGTGCTCGCAGCGCACCCAATATTGTCACTTGATCATGGACGAGGGCATTTTCTCCAATCTCCTAAGCGTATCCGTCAACGGGAACAACGGAGCCAAGGCTGCAGCTTTGGAGCTGCTGCGGATTCTGAGAGATGTGATCGAAGCTGTTGAGGCAAATAATGCAGATCCGGACGCGAGCTGGTCCCACGAAAACAGCCCTTCGCCTCCGCCTGTGCCTTCGGCACCGAAAGCACAAGGGCTTTTGGGGAGAGTTTTTGGGAAGAAGAAGAAGAAAACGTGAACAAGGCAAGCGTTAGCCATAGTAGCCATTGTGATTCCGAGTAAGTTTTATGAGGTCGTTTGGTAAAAATTATTGTTGATATATTGACGAAAATGTGAATATTAGTAGTAGTAAGTAAGTTAAATTAGTCGTACGTATGTATGTATGTATGGTAGCAGCACTCAACTTTCCAAATAGATAGATAGATGGATAGATAACAGATAATAGGTATTTAGAAAAATGTAATGATTTTGTAGATTAGAACCTAATCTGATCCGTGTGTATGGAAGGAAGTATATATGTGCATTAGTGTGAGCTGAGATACGATACGGGTGTAGTGTTTGACAGTTAAATCTTAGTTTATTTGATTAATTGTCACATGATTTCATTATATGTTTTGATTAATTATATATATAAATTATTTATATTGGAGTGTAGTAAATTATTGATATTAGTTATTTATACATAAAATAATAATTAAACATGTTTTATATTTTATTTTTAAAAATTATATTACATTCATACTGTGCAGTTATTATTATTATTATTATTATTATTATTATTATTATTATTATTAGATATTGAAAATTATAAAAATATTTATTTTTGTTAATTTTTTTAAATATTTTATAAAAAACAGTGTATTTTTATCAAACATATGAGTAGGTTTTTTTTTTTTTTTTTGTTATGAGAGATAGTGCAAAATATAAAAAAATAAAAATTATTTATATATGTACTTTTATTATATTATTTTTTAATTGATTTATCTTTTTACTAAACATATAATTTTAAATAAATTTATTTTATTGTATTCATTTTTAATACAATTTGTTTGTTGTAATAAAAAATTTATTTATAAAAATAAATTATTAATATTAATATTTTTGATTTTATATTTATTTTAAACATATGTAAATATTTTACAAATAAAATAATTTGCATAGAAAAAATAATAATTTCAATTACTTTAAATACATAAAAAAATGTTCATAATTTGCTAATAAAAAATATATTAAAACAAATAATATAATAATATAATAAATCATATATTCATATATATTATGCATAGCCGGCGACTACAATGCGAATTTAAAGTTTAGCACTATGCTGAATAGCACATCGTGTGCTATTAGACAGCACATAATATTACTACAAACAACACATTGTATACGTTAATATAATACAAATACAATACATGAACAAAATACACATGCTATAGTCTCAACAACACACAATATTACTGCAGACAACACATTGTATATGTTAATATAATACAAATACAACACATGAATTAACAACACATGGTATAGTCTCATACAACACACACAACAGTTGATTTTAGTACATGACATACTTGTATACAACGCACTTGTTATTATTAAAAAACATCACATGCCTTTGTTATACATAGCATATGTTGTGTGTAATACTAATGTGTGTTGTTTGCATATATAATATGTGTTGATGTGAAATTTTTTTCAAATCAGCACCGTAACCATCCTCATTATGCATATGTGTGAATTAGAGACTTTAGGCAAATAAGGAAAAAAAAGAAGGCAAAATTATATGCGATTTTATTAAATTGTGTCAAATTTTTTTATATTTTCAAAACTGTATTAAATTCCCTTATAATTCAATAAACCGTGCGTTTAACTTTTCGGTCATTTTTATTTAACAGTGTTTGTCTGCACGTGTCCAATGTGTAAATGAGTTTCATAATCTCTGAATAATTGAAATTATCATTATATACATTCTTCTTATATTTAACCTTAATGAATAGTTAGAGTGTGTTCATTTGACCGTTTGGGCTTAAAAGTTCCTATACATACTTACGGTACTAAATTCAAATTGAAAATCCATATTTCTAAATCCTATACTTCAAATTCAACGTCTAGTTTCTTTCTAACATAAGTTGTCGGCGAGCGAATCTCCTTGCCAAGCAAAGACCCGTCAAATCGATTCACATGATCGGACAGGTCATTGGTAGGTGAGGCAATAAATCATCAGCATCCTGCCTTGGTCGTTTCGAGTTTTGTTCTGTAGGGGTTGACTCTGGCATCTCGGTTGGGTAAAGGAAATACGACCGGCGTTTGAACCGGCGGTGCAACAGTGACAACCGGACGGCGCAGAGGTGAGTCAATCTTCACCCTTTTTTTTTTTTTCCTCTTTCTCCAAGTCACGTGAATTTTGTTCAATCTAAGGTGAAATTTGTTTGCATTTGCATGATATTTGTTTGATTTTGGTGATTCTGGTTTGATTTTATAAAATTCTTTATTCTAAAAAATCTTAGGAACAATAGGCCGTATTTCGAGTTTAATTTGTTTAACAGTGAAAATTATTTTGATTATTGCAATTTCATGACATTTCTTTCGCTCTCTGTTGAAACCGAAAGTTTCCCAGAAATCATGTTCATGGTTGGGTGGGGGAAGCTCAATTTCCTAAATCACCGATAGTAACGGTTGAGACGGATACTCATCTCCTAAAAATTTTAAGGATTATAGTTCATATGTCGGCAAAGGGTGTCACTGTGTCTAATTTAGGGAATATTAGGATCCTTATTTTGAAGGTGTTGGATGGTATTCGTTCAGTGTTAGTATCCATGGATGGGCTTGGCTTTCGCTATTTAGAAGATAGTTATGTGCATTGTTTCGATTTTGGTACAAATCGATTAGGATTTGCTTCATTTTTTCCTCTGTGGCCGTTGTCGTGGGTTTCCTCCCTTTTTTCTTGCAATTGGTTCAACATTGACAAAGTTTAATGTATTTATCTTAGGCTAACCAATACTATGCATTTCTATTGATGAAATTGTTTGCCCACTTGGCGCTTTGTCACGACATTTTTGGCCCTACCAAGAGGGACACATAAATGTTGAGATATTTTAATGTTCGGTTTTAGATTTAGTAGATTTTATATTTAGATTTGGTCTTATCTATAGATTATATTACTTATATTTAAGTCTATCTAGTTTGTTTTGTATTGCCTATATATAGGCCCCTTATTTTGATAATCAATAATACAATCTCATTATTTTCCCCTTCAAAATTCTAACATTGTATCAGAGCCTATTTTTTTCATGCCGTACATATAGCCTACCAACCCGTGTTTCTTCAGGTACATTCAACCTAGATTGTACCCGTAGGTCTTGTGATTTTGAGATCATGTCTTTACAAGTCTGTCTTTTTGCAAATTTGTTGCTTGAAATATGTCTGTGACCTCTCATCTGTCCGTTGTCTGTCTGTTTCCTGTGTGCTATCTGAAATTTATCTGCGATCTTCCATCTATCCGTTGCTTGTTTGTTGCCTGAAATCTGTCTACGATCTTCCATCTTTCCGTTGCTTCTCTGTTGCCTGCGTGCGATCTGCCGTTCTTCAGCCGCCGCATCCTGCTTTGGTTCCCTACGTCGTGGTGTGGATGGTTTTGTCATCGGAGTTAATTTCGTGTTGCGACTATTACCGGTTGGATTGCTTGATTTGATTTCTTGATTTCGTGATTTATACCGGTGTGATTGGTTTTTTCATCGGAATTGATTTGTCATGGCTTCCTCAGTCCAGAATCTCATGACTCTCTTGCATCAAGCTATTGCTTCTAATGGCATGAAAAATTCGTGGTGTTTTGATTTTGGTTGCTGCCATCATATGACATCTACACTTGGCTTATTGACTGATGCACATCCTGTGTCTTCTTCATTACCTATGCATACTACTAATGGGAGTCGCATGGATATCACTCATTCATTATCTGTATTTCTACCATTTATATCTCTTCATGATACTTACTGTATTCCTACTCTTAAATCTTGTAACAATTGGCCAATTAGTTAAGTAAGGACTTACTGTTACTTTTTCTTCTTCTGTTGTGCAGGTTCAGGATCCACGTACGGGTCAAATTCTTGGGACAGGTCGAAACGTGGGTCAAATATTTGAGGTACAATATTTGAAAATTCCTCATAGTAAATTCTCTACTGTTACTACTCATACCCCTCTCGATACATTTCCTTTCTAGTCTTCAATGGCACATTCGTCTTGGTCATGCGTCTTCCTCTAAACTTCAGTCTCTCGTTAGTAAGGGTCATTTGGTTTATACTCGTTTTGAGCCATTTGATTGCTTACACTGTCATTTGGAAAAACAACAAGCCTTATCTTTTTTAGAAAATATGTCGGTCGCAAGTAAATCGTTTTCCTTGGTTCATTCTGATATTTGAGGTCCTTCCTATGTTTCCTCTATGAGTGGGTGTTGTTATTATGTCATTTTCATAGATTATTACTCCCGTTTTACATGGATATATTTTTTTAAACACCGTTCAGTATTACCTCAAACATACATTGACTTTGCTTAAATGATTCGAACTCAATTTTGTTGTCCCATGCAGACCCGCTATACTGATAATGCCTTTGAGTATAGGGATTCTACATTATTAAGTTTCCTCTCTACTCAAGGTACATTGATTCAGTGTTCCAGTCCATACACCTCTCAACAGAATGGTCGCGCTAAGCGAAAACATCGTCACATTTTAGATACTGTTCGTGCATCTCTTTTGTCTGCATCTTGTCCTGATAGGTTCCGGAGGGAAGCCGCCCTCACTACTGTCTATACCATTTATCTTATTCCATCACTTGGCCTCTATAATAGCACCCCTTTCTAGCGTCTATATGGTCAGCCACCCGATTATAGTACCCTTCGTCCCTTTGGTTGTGTCGATTTTGTCGTTCTCTCCGCATGAACATTCTAAATTGGAACCCCGTGCGCGTGTATCTTGTCTTCTTGGTTATGGGTCAGAGCATAAAGGTTATAGGCTTTGGGATCCGATTTCTAAACGGTTGCTTATATCTCGTCATGTTACCTTTTGGGAGAGTATCATGTTTTCCACCCTATCTAAATTTCATATCCCATGTATTTCTGGTTTACCTTCATTCCTGTTGGTATGTCCTCCCTTGTTTCCTGATCTTGATCCTACGGCTCCATCACCGCCTCCGGATCCTGTTCCAGTTGAGACCTCTGATCACCTCCAGTTGATGTTTCCGATCCACCTCTAGTTGAGGTTTCTGATTCGCCTTCAGTTGAGGCTTCTGATCCACATCCGACCTTGTCTCTAGATGCTGATCCGTCTGCGTCTCTGGACCTATCATACCTCGTTGATCACATAGAGTGAGTCACCCTCCTCCTCACTTGCGTGATTATAATTGTTACTCTACCATATCTCATTATGAGCCTAGGTCATTTCGTGAGGCAAGTGCTGATCCATTATGGCATAAAGTAATGACTGAGGAATTGGAGGCTCTGGAAAAAACTCACACTTGGGATTAAGTGGATTTTCCTTCTGGAAAGACACCTATTGGGTGCAAGTGAGTTTTCAAAATCAAGACTAATTCTGAT